AAACCGCCTCAAATGGCGACAGCCGGACAAAGATTCCTATAAAAGGGCTTATTTGCACTTTTTTGGTAAGTTCGGGGGCTTATTTGCCCCTTTTCCCTTATTTGGGGGGCCAAAGTTGGCGTTTGATTATTGTACTTCTGGTTGTTTTGTCTAAAAATACTACGGAGTATTTTGAATGACTTGAGATTTGTTTCAATGCGTGATCTACATTTTTGGAGTTTTGTTTAATGACTTTAATCATGACACATTGACACTGCATGTTTACTGAATTCAGATTTATAAATGAGCACTAATACACAACACAAAACACACATTCTTTTAAAATTGGTGTGAAATACTGATCACCATGACACAAAACACTAATATATATTGATTGTCATCTATTTGTAAAATAAAACAATGGTGAAGATAACATGTTTCATATTGAAATGCAATCCGTTTAAAATTAAAGTTTATTTTTGAATAAAATAGAGTGTTAAAAGCATAATTTTGAATTTAGGTAAATTCTCAGTAAAATAAATTTGACCAGAGAAGTATAAACTACGGCAGGTGACCTAAATGTGTACAAAAATATTGCGAACTCATTAAAACATGAGGACATAGACTTCAATTAGCTCTCGGACAGAGTGGTGACAAGCAATTTTATCACCGGCGGAATCAGAGTTTTGGGGTCTTCGACAAGCAATGAAGTGGTGTCTCCAGTGGGTTAGAGGGAATATAATTTTTGAGATGAATTCCAAACGAGTGATTGATGATATGCATGGTGATTGGGATGATGTGTCAGAATATAGATTGATGGTGAAGGATTGTCGATCAATGCTAGCGGAGAATAACAACTTTAAAATTGTTTTTAGATAAAATTTCACTAATATTACTCTTTTAAGAGTTATGGACAAAAATGTGACTTGATAACTTTGAGTTACTATAATTATGTTCAATGTTACTATGATGTAGTGACCATGATGTAAACTTTGAACACGGTTATAGTAACTATAAGTTATCAAGTCACATTTTTGTTCATGATTTTTGTATTAGTAATATAAAATTCCTCTTTTGTTTTTACTAGACGGCAAGCAAAGTAGTGCTCATGTCATAGCTAGGGCGACTACTAATCATGCTTATCGTGTGACATTTTATCATCTTCCTTGTTGTATTCTTCATATTATTGATAATGAATGGATCAAGTTAATCCTTTCAAAAAAGACTTCAATTAGCTTTTTTTATACTTCATCAATTCTGTTGTACATAATATCTTATTTTGGTTCAATAGAGGATCTACGTAAATAACAAATTCTGGTTAATTACTTTTTGGAAAAATTCAAAATAATTTTGTGAAGAAAAAAGGATATTGAAATGATATTTAGGGATTAGAAACATAAGATATAATCTTGAACTGCATTATGACATTTAGCATACTCAAATTGAGATGATATTACAAGTGCATTGTCATACTCTGTACTTCTTTATCATGCTCATGACCTCCCTTCAAAAAACATTGCCCACACCAGTTTTCACTCGACTATGCCTAATTATAAGTTCTTACGTAAATTTTTATTACATATCACACTTGTTATTCTATATCACATTTACACATTCGATTTATATAAAAAAAATCTTTCACTAATGACATTAACAAATAATAAAATACACGTGTGAGAATCTAATCTCAAACAAAGATGAGAATATTTTAAGACAAAAAGAAAGGGACAAGAAAGATAAGAAAATGATAACATTTATAAAATTGCAATGAGAAATGCTAGAGGTACCCCATTTTCTACCACATCTTATGTTTGTGGCTCACAAAAATCCAACCCAATTAAAATAATTGCTCCATTTTAACTCATTGCTTTTGTGAACCACAAACATAGGAGGGGGTACAAAATGGGGTAGCTTTAGCATTAGTGAATTGGCAATACTCTTCTTTACCCTCAATAGTGCTTGACATGAGGTGTCGACTCCTAATGAGTTCTCTAATATCATAATGCACATTGCCATTAGATGTAGTATGATCACACCAATATAAATAGTATGAGGCTATGAGCATGAAAATGTTTAGAAATGTTTAGAAATAGGGAAAACTGTTAATTAAATCCTCCAACTAAAAAAATTTGGAATTTAACAAGTGAAGATCCGGTCATCCGATTGTTTGGAAGATGTGGCTGCCCATGTGGATTTTTTTTCTTTTTCTTTTTTTCTTCTTTTCTTTCTTGTTTTCCTTCCGCGCCACATCTCTTTCTTCTTGTTCTTTCATCTTCTCGGCAACCCTCTGTACGAACATTTCATCTTTTCTTTATTTCTTTCTTGGATTTTTCGTTTCTTTCTCCCATCCATACTGCTCCCGCTTTTGTTTCATCATTGTGGTTCATCGTTGTCATTCTTAATTATTTAATTTAGGAACTCCGGCGAAGACTTGAAAAGGTGGCATGGCGGCGGATATCCTGTTGGCTAATGTGACCTCATTGGTGTCAGTGTTCGTCTGCAATGACGAGAATTAGCTCGGGAAGGCATCCACGACGGCGAGGACGAGCTCAAAAGTCCGGCGTATGTTTCTGCACCTGCGGTGATGATGGTGGCTTAGCTGACGAACTTGGAATTCCACCATACATCTTCTACACCTCCGGGAGGATGGAATCTTGGCCAAAGAGCTTGAAATTCCGGCGAACATTTTTCTACACACCTGGCGCCGCCGTGCTTGGCCATAGATGGCTTTTTGGCCGACGAGATCGAAAATTCAACGTCCGTGCTCTACACTTCTACACCTTCGGCGCCATCGATCAAGCTTGTGCTTGGCCGGCCAATTATCAGACTCAAAGAAAAGGAATGAAGAAAAGAAAGGGAGAAGAAGAAGTTGGGCTAGTGAAATGGCGGAAGAAAAGATGTTGCAGAACAGAATGGGGCAGGAGAGATGAAAAGAAAAAGAAAGAAAAAAGGGAAAATTAAATATAAAAAAAACAAAAAAAAACACAGATGGATAGCCATATCAACGTTATCACCGGGTAACTAGATCTTCACTTGTTAAATTTCAATTTTGACTATTTTTTAAAGTTGAAGGACCTAATTGAGTGATTTTTTAGTTCGAAGACTTGATTGACTTTTTTCATATACTACAGGGACCTATTTGATAGTTTTCCCTTAGAAATAGGGGTACTTCAGTACTTGTAGGGGTGGACTCGGGTGGGGCCGCCCAGCCCGAAACCGGCCCGGTACCATTTGGGCCCGACCCAGCCTGGTTGGCCGGGCTTCGGGCCCGTTCAGGCCTACCGAACCGCTCAATTCCCGGGGCATGCTCGAGGCTCCTAAAAGTGGAACCGGCCCGGCCGGTCCGGGCCCAATTCGGACCTATTTTTTTTTTGAAAAAAAATCTGTTTCTACCGGGTTGGGCTTGGTGTTTGGGGGGGTTGGGGGTGGGGGTGAGAGGGGGGGTCGGGGGTTAATTACAAAAACAAAAGAAAATAAAAAAAAATAACATTGAATCGGAACCGCTACATACCCGGGCCGATTCCGATTCTTCCTTTCCAAAGAAAAGCCCGGCCAGGCCCAAGCCCGAACCAGAACCGACCCGGCCCAAGTCCATCCCTAGGTTTTTAGAGCTTTTTTACCCCAAAGGCCCAAACCTCCTAAAACCGCCCCAAACACCCCCAAACGATTATATAGCCATTATATGGCCCCGCAACCCCACTCTTCATTAAAAAAATTCTAGCCGGTGGGACCGAAACCGGGCCCAAGACCGCCCAGTAGGTCCCCAATTTCACAGCCCGGGACCATGACTGCCGGTGGACCGGACCAGTCACTGGTTACGAGTCGGTAGTCGGTACCAATAAACCGGTCCTGAGCCAGTCCAAAACAGTACTAGTCCCGGGTTACTACCGCTCCTTGTCCATCACAAGTTACACACTTACACCACTCCACACAAAAATCAAAAGTTCCAATAAACGGAATAAGTAACCAAAAGTTCTAATAAACGGAATATAAAAGTTGAACAAAGTAGTTATCAAACAAGACCCTAGGTAGGTAAACTGAACATAAACTCTTTCTTTATCATTACAATCATCGATTAGCACAAATTAAACAGTCCCTCAATATTCTCCGTTATCCTGAACAATGGACAATATTTATATAAGAAACAAAATGACGGTTAAGACTATGGGTGGACCGGTTCCGGTTCGGGCCTGGGCCCGGCCGGGCCTCGGTTCAGAAAATCTAGGCCCGAGCCCGAACCACCGGTGGCCGGTTCCGGTTCCGGGCCAAACCGGGCCGGGCCGGGCCAACCGGCCCACATATTTTTTATTTGGTTTTTGGTTCTCCTATTAAACCCCCTACCCCTCCCCCCTCAACCCCAAACCATCCCAAACCACCTCAAATGGCTCAAAATACCTAATACAACCTAAAACTTAAAAAAAATCAAAAAAAAAATTAAAAAATTAAAATCCGGCCCGGACCGGGCCTGAACCCGAGCCAGGCCAAACCGAACCGGTGGACCCACCGGGCCACGGGCCGGGCCGGGCCAAAGAGTGACCGGGCCGGGCCGGGCCCGGGTCGGGCCGACCAGCCCGAGTCCACCCCTAGTTAAAGACTTGTGATGAAAAAAAATTATTCAAATACAATAATAATTATGAGTTCCTTCAAAACGTAAGATATTTTGTTGCAAAGGACAGTCATATTTCTATTCTTGAACACAACCGAGACATCAAATCGCTACTTCTTTTTATAAAGGGAGATATTATAGCGTCCCAGAGTCCCAGCCATCCTATTCTTCCTATCCGATTCTTCCTATCGGGCTCTCAATTAATTCTGAGAAGTTGATTATTCACATGTACAAGAAGTGAACGTTGGATTATGATTTAGGTAGAAATCCAATATAAGATCTCTCTTTAGAAACAATATTAGTTGCAATAGAAGCAAACTTGGTCAATCATGATTCTCCTGTACATCCATTGGGGTGTATATCATCCACACCAAACTTATAGGATCAAATGCCCGAAAGTACCCTTGGGGTTTGGATGGAAACCTTTTTTCATATAAGCAACACAATTAATAAAATCAGGATGAAGGTGGAACAAAAGGGGCAAAACATAGTATCCACACATTTCTTGATGGTGTGTCTGGCATGTTAAAATTTGACATTAACAGAGAACCAATACAAACTGCACTGCATATATGACTGCATAATGTACACATGCTAATTAATATTTACATGTACATATAACTCAATCGCTAACCTAGCAAAATTGTGTCCCAAAGCATTCAGCAGAAGGGCGGAAATCCATTCATGTGGGTGACTCTGTGAGTAGGAGGGTATGCCACCATCCACATGACACATTTTTGGGGACACATTCATCTATAGGAACTTGTGTAGGTATCTTACGGTCTATTACATCGCCTAATCCAAGCTGAGAATATCATAAAATAATATCGGTATTTAGGCAACACACCCAAAACTAAGTAATAATAACCAAAGTAATCTTTTGGTAAAATATTTACCTGGCCATACTTGTTCCATCCCCAGCAGAACACTTTGTTATCATCTTCAAAAACGGAAGAAAGGAAGTGTAAGACCAAATGTAGTAAATGCATGTGCAGTACTTCTATTTCAGGGTACTTTAGCTTGGTTTTGTATGGGCGAACAAATGCAAACAATGATTCTTACAGAGTAACAGCACATTCACCAATGCCTACAGTTATTCACTAGTGATTTCACATTTGCTTAATGTGAAATCACAAGGTATTTGCAGTGATTGCAGAGCCTTTTCAAGCCGGATGCACGAAAATGCATGTTTGGAAAAACATATAGCACTGGAGAGACCCTAGTTTTTGTGAATTTGGGGCAAACGGAGGTGTCATTATTATAAATTTTAACACAAATAGACACGTTTTTTTGCCAAACTTTGAATGAGGCCGGGCCTAGGTTGACCATCTTTCTATGCCGCTGCTTGGGACGAGACACACGGTCATCCCAGTAGAGATAAACACAAAATTGAGTTCTTGAACGAAGTGAGATGTAGGAATGTTGGACTAGAAGACAGAGAGTCCTTCGGCGACCCCTTCTGGTATTATTAAACAGAATAGGCAGAAGGCGAGACAAGAAGACAGAGAGTCCTTGATATTGCACTTTATGCAAAAGATGAGGAACCCTTTCATGAAGTAATAATGTCTACGGAAAGCTCATTAGCAGGGAAGGAGATCTAATCAATTTGAAGTACACTACAACAAAGGGATAAAGGGTCATCTCAAATGGAGTTTCAGTACTCAGTAGTGTACGACTATGTGGATTCTGAAATAAGTTGGAGGACATTCCACCACCATTTCATCCTACGAGAGTCCAGAAAGAGTACGAAGCCAGCACATACTCCTAGGAAGTGATTCTAGGAAACCACGCCAGAAAGCGAGGAAAACATGAAATGAACCAACGAAATTCAGGGAACAAGAATAAAACTAACCTTTTTAAAGACAGACTGAGGAACACAAGGCCTAAAGGCGCTGGTTGGAAACTTACTGGAGTTCTATCGAAAATTTGACAGAGCCTGAGAGGTTGTAACAACCCAAAATATTCAAACCTCAAAGGCCGTGGACGAATCAGGATGCAGCATAAGGATCAGAGTGTCTGCCACATTTGATGTTGATTGATGTGGGTGCAGAAAAGTTTTCTCAGCTCAGATTTAAGACCTTTTGAATAGATTTTCGTAAATCATGACTACTAATTGCTAAAACATTATGAATAACTATAACATACAGAACGCTTGAATAACTTATTTGAGCTATGATAGGTATAATGATAGGAATCTGGCTTAGTAGGTTAATAATAATAATAGAGTTCTAGTAAATAATTGTGATAGTATAAAAATAAGGCTTTTGGGCCAGGTAAGTCATGAGTTGGGCTAGCCCTTTTGTTACTACCCTAGTTAGCTTTTTTCCGTTTTAAACACGTTTTAAACATGTACCGTTTTTTTCAGCAAAAAAACACGTTTAAAACGAAAAATAATGGCGGTCCGTTTAAAAAGGAAAAAAACTCCTCCCCGTATAAAACGTATTTTCACCTTACTTTACAAAAAATAGAAAAATGTTGGTCATTTGAATGAATGTAATAAATGCATAGTAGATCAACAATAGTTTAAAAGCAAAAAGGAAAACTTTTTCCCCGCGACCCCGTGTTTTTGTATTGTTACAGTGCAATTATTAAATATTAAAATTAATTGCAATGAACCAAAATATAAACGCAAATCGGTACTGTGGATGTCTCACTGAGAGCTGATCACGAATCCCTAGGTCGTCGTCAATGACAACGGCAGCAGCTTGGGCTGCTCCCCCACTACCTATGTATTCTCTGAATTTTCTTAATAAAACTCTGGTAAATGTTCCCCGGCATTTACCCCACTGATTTTGGTGGTTTGCCTTCCGGAGTAAAAAAAATATTATTAAAATTAATTGCATGATAACTAAAGGTAGCATCCTAAAAGACTCAAATTTAAAATAGTACTAGATTTCTAATGTTTTCCCAAACAAGCATATCAAAATTAAGGCTTTTCATAACCTCACATTTTTTTAGTGTGAACTTTTACACATAAACAGTAATAAGTGTAGCAGTCGCACAACTTTTCTCATATGTCATCCGTCAACTTGATGAAAATGATGAGATTAACTTGAGTATTATTTGATGATCATATAAAGATAACGATTTTAGTTTAGTCTCATTCTATTGTTATTATGTCTTTTTTTTACATTATTTTGCAATATTATATCTTGGACTTAATTACTACGTAGTATTTTTATTTTTGTAATCGACTTATGCAATTATGAATTATTCTTTCATGTACTAATAATGGCATTTGCTACTTGAATATATGTATACTTTTATTTCTTTTTACTATATATGTTATTCTGTGAAGTATATAATTTAAATGTTCAAAATAATACCCTGTATTTTTTGTCCGAATTTTTGTAACAGATACCGTATTATACACGTATACTTATTTATACGTTTTTTAAAAGTCAACGTTTTTTTAAACGTATATTTGACCGTTTCTTTCATTCACGTTACCGAATAAAACGCGTACGTATTAAACCTCGTTTAATTCCCGTACCGTATTGAATTAACTATGGTTACTACTACTACGTATCAGAGCCCATTTGGGCTGGCCCTTTTGTTACTGCCCATTAACACTAATAGTTAATGCCCCTCTCGAAGTATCAGAGCACGTGAATCACCTGGGAGTAACATGTACGCTAGAAAAGATGGAGAATCAGTCGAATGATCTGGAACGGAACTCTACAGAGATGATAGCGGAAATACGAAAGGTGACGGAATCGCTGTTGAAACAGGATCGCGATAAGACAAGGGGAAGTTGGCGCACTTCAGAACATCGACGAGCGAGAGAATCTGAGTCCAGCTGCATCTGAAGGTAATTCTGATCAATATCGTTCGAGTGTGGGTTGCAATAGCAGCAGAAGGCCTGTTCATACGGTAATGAAGGTTGATTTACTGAAGTTTACAGGGGATGATGCGGACAGTTGGATTGTTAAGATGGAAGAGTATTTCCGTCTCAAGGCTACTGCTGAAAAAAATAAAGTGGTAGTAGCAGAAGGTGTGATAGAGGAAAGAGCCTTAGCCCGGTTATAATGGGAAGAGTTGGAAGGTTTTGAAGGAAGCCATAAATAGGCGTTTTCAACAACACAGCCTGAAGACAGAAAAACAGGATTCGCGATTGCCAATATATCTGCTTTAAGTTCGCAATCTTTGTCGCGAACTGCTTTTAACAGTTTATCATCGAGAACTAATTCTCCGCAGATGTCATCGCCATCGCAAACAGCCTCTATCAGTTCGCAGGTCTCCTCGCCAAAATTTTCTCCCAGTTCGCAGATTTCAGCCCAATCAGCGTTTCCTATGGCGCAAGTTTCATCGTACCTAAAGGAATCACCTGAGGATACATTCATCAATGGTGATGAGGAACGAGAGGATAAAACTTCTGTGGTGATTCAGTCCATTGCCATGGAATATGAATCTGCCGTTGTTAAAAGGGTTGGTTCAAATACTTGGGAAAGCTCTACCCGGACTGTTTGTATAGAGGAGACTGAGGAAATAGAAGAGAATGAATCCAAGTCTAGAAAAAGGAGGACAAAATTGAAATGCAAAACCAAAATAATTCTTCTGCAGGGTTTGATAGTTTGAGCTCAAGGTTATTATTCTGAACATCTGAAAGTTGCTGACAACTGTGTATTACCACCTACAACTGTGTCACTGAAACCGGAGCAGGTTGTTTCTGGACTTCCTGATGGTGAAGGTTCTTGGGTTGTTTCTGCAGGGATTGATAGTTTGGTGGCCGATGCCAGCTCACTTTCAAAGTCTGCTTTGCTTGAAGGGACAGTTGCTGAAGCTACAGAGGATCCATCTGCATGAATTAAAGCAACGACACCATTAAGAAAGCTGTTTTTGATTGAACGCAGCCCTCCAAGTGATGAGTTTCGTGAGCAGGCTACCAGGGCTTTAGGAAAGGTTTCTTGTGATGCCCTAGGTTGTAGCGATCAAGGTCTTGGTCATGGTGCAATCCTACCATTGCTAGTTCAGTCAAATGAGCATTCAGAGCTTTTTATGTTGACAAATTCTACAGGGATTTTATCAAACTTATGGCGATGCAGGACACCAACTCCATTTGCCCGGGTCAAAGGTGTATTGCCAGTTTATCAGCCATTCATCCATATGAAAGAGGAAGAAGTCTGGACTCAAGTTTGCTAGACAATACCTAATATCACTGATAGGAATCTGGGTTTTGTAGGCTATTAATAAGAAATAATAATATTAATAATAGTAAAGGTACTTGTAGTAGTTTTAATAGAAGGGAAGGGGTTATTAGTAATATCTAGCATATCCATATGTGGGCATTGGCTATAAATAGAAGGGATAACAACGGGTGAGGCAGACTGTTATTTGATTGAATGTTGCCTTGTTGCCTAAGAGTCCCGGTTGCCTTTGTTGCCTAAGTTGAGACTATTCCTATCAATAAACATCATCTTCCCTATCTTTGTTATCAGATCTGTGTTTGGTTGTTACTGTTTGTGCTCAGATTATACAAGGTTCCTATCATTGGTATCAGAGCATTCGCTCCTGGAGTCTTAATCGATCGTCACATCTCTATCGCTGAAGAGGAAAATTGATTGCCGCGATGCTTAGATACGAACGAACGAAGAGGGTCGCCGAGCAGAGCAGAGAACCGCGACGGTCAGAACTCGACGCCTTTGGTACGAACCTGGAGATGCGTTCGAACCTGGAGATGAAATCCGCGACGGAAAAAGTTGCGATGAACCTGGCGATGCTACAGGAGACAGTCGCGAAGATGAACAGTAACCAAAATCTACCGAGGAATCCATTGTTCACAACACACAGCTCGCATCACTCTTTACATCGCACTTCGCTACTTGGAGACGCGAGAGATTCTGATCAGTCTTGTTCTGGTGTGAATCGCGATAAAAGTGGTCGTACGAGAATAAAGGTTGAACTACCGTTGTTTAACGGGGATGGGGATGAGGATGATGT